TTCTTCCAGGCCATGATGTACTGCTATGATCCGTCTCCCAGCTTAATTTCTACAATCTTCATGCCGCCAATTTTTCTATGACCATCTTGCAACATATAGAAGTTTGCTGGAGTGAAGACGTGAGAAGCAGCTATCTCAAGTTCCCTCGAGCTAGTAACTGGCACCGGTAAACTCTGTGAGGCCGTGCAGTCATCTCGAGCCTCGTTTTCACGGATATGCACAACGGCGTTCTCATAATGCAAAATCATATCCACCAGGGTCATTTCACCGTCTAGGTGGAGGTGAAGGCGTGGGTTCAGGCTTTCACTCCGCCGGTTGCTTTTCATGCCAAGCCAAAACCCTTCTGTTAGATAAGCCGCGGCCCACGGTCTCCTCTTCTTATACATCCGTCTCAACCATGTTACAGTTTTTTTCCGACTACCATCTTTTGGAAAATGCGTGCCATCTCTCCTCAAACGTGGTCGTGGACGTGCTGTAGTACAGAAGAGTTCGAAACTCCTTCAAGGACTTGTGACTGAGGTGAATCTTCATATTTTTTTCTATATGCCACGTACATATACGGTGCCACACGTCTGGCAAGACTTCGCGAATTTCCTTGATCATCGCAGCGTTGGCGTCCGTGATTACACTCTGCAGCAGCCACACGTATGTCTCTTCGGTCTCGTCCGAAACTATGGCACAACCAAAAATAGTGGTCCTTCGGTGATTGTTAAGACCAACAAAAGATATGAATGGCATACCATAGCGGTTCATCTTGTACGTGCTGTCAAATACAAGCACATCACCGAAGTCCTCATAGTCATGACGAGACTGGGAGTCGCACCAGAACATCCTATTCAAATGTCCTTCTTTATCTAGGTTGTACTCGAAAAAGAAGTTAGGATCCCTCTGTTTCCTACTGGCCATGATGCCTATGGCTGTGGCAGCATCATCTTTTGAAAGCAGGTTCCTCTTCTCCCTGGCGCAAAGGTTGTATATTTCACGCCTGGTAAAACCAACACCGCCATACCATACATGTTTGCTGATGAAGGAATCCATCATGTCGTGAATTCTAATCCCTGCAGCTCCCATGGAGATTATCTCATGCTTCTGGTACTCTTTGATTTTTCTGTGGGACCAAAGAAAAGGTACCTCGTCCGGTCCTGCCAACATATGGCTATACTTGTCCTCAAAACTTTCAACATACCAAACCCCACGCTTTTGGTCAAGCTTGACGGTTAGGTGCGCTTCACAAAAGCAGCGTGTCTCGGCTCTGAGCCTACGGGTGTGTCCTTCCTCAGTTAGCAACTTGTTGTCACGTTTCCCTTGTCTGGAACAAACAAACCGCCTATAACGCATATGATGTGACTTGGTTTTGCTATACCTGACCTTATTCTTTCTAATGCTGAAACCATTATCTCTAGCATAGCTGTTGTAGAAATCATACGCAGCATCGTGAGACGTAAAGGTCATTTCCATTATCTGCATGAACATATCCCTCTTATCATCTGCACTGGCAGTATCTTGGACATTCTTTGCCCCATCATCTTGTGTCACCTACACAATCAAACCACATCCATGAAACAGTTTTCTATGGTTTAACATTACTTCCATAGAACATTGATTCTGAGATTCCTTCAGCACTCCATTCAACTATTGGGAGATTCCTTCAGCACCTTGTAATTTTTATTGTTTCTGCATAGTTATATTTTCTGAGATATTTGCATTGTCGGCCTATTAAAAACCTTGTTGTGTTGACAAAGATCAAGATCATGTTTCTTTATTATCCATATCAAAATTGCTTACCGGACCAAAGCAGACTTCTAGTGCGGAGACTGCCGACACTTGATCATCTACTACAGAAGCAACCAATCTTCTGGTAACCATTGCATGGAGGCTGGAATATGATGCGCCGGTGAGCCACAAGCAGCAAAAAGGTTGGAAAAGAAGCAAAGAGCCATGTTGCATAAAATTGGAAAGGAAAATGAATATGTAAGGCTCAAGGACAATCAGTGTATCGTGTGCATACGCGTCCAGCCACCCTGCGGAGCTAGCTTCCCGCGACCCAGGGCGGCTCGCCGCACTCCTGCTAGTATCCATTAAATAATACAATGAGAACATGGCTGCTGTCTTGGCTCCTTGAACGGGCTGGCTCCTCCACTCTAGCCGCCGGCTTCTCCTGTCTCCCGCTAGCTTCTTCTAGGTGCGTTTGCCAAGGTCAAATCAAAATCAATCAGTGTACGATGTGCCGTATACGTACGCATCCAGTTGCCGATTTCTCTTGCCTAGTTTTTTTTTTTGGAGAAACGGAGAGAGACCATGGGAAGGACGACTCGCCTAGGTGGGATAGGAGAGCAGGTCTCCTATTTCATCCAACGGCTACGCACACATGATAAATTAATTGGATGGTCAAATTTTCTTAATCCCAAGGATTAACGTGGTGTCTCGTAAGATGTATGTGGTGTTTTCCTTAAAAAATGTTGTTCTAAAATATCATATGTATGTGTAGGTATGTTCCTTTTAATGTATGCGGTGTTTTTCTTAAAAACGTTGTTCTAAAATATCATGACCATTAGTTTTTAAATCTGGCGGCTAAGTAATCTTGCTTATGTGGATTAACATGGAATGTATGTAGTGTTTTCCTTAAAAAACGTTGTTCTAAAATATCATATGTACGTGTAGGTCTATTCATTTTAATGTATGTGGTGTTTTAAAAAAACGTTGTTCTAAAATATCATAGCCATTAATTTTTAAATCTAGCGGCTAAGCTAATCTTGCTTATGTGGATTATCATGGAAGCTCATATGGTGCATACGATTAGTAAATATAAGATACACCCTCAGCCAAAGCAATAATGACGGCTCTCCCAAAGTAAATCAAGCTATCCTTGTAAGAGATCAACTCACTCCAACACCTCTACTTAGTCTATTACAAAAACCAGACAATCTCTTTCTGAAAGCTGACTGCCATTTAAAAGAAGCTCGTCACACAATTAACTTCCAGCGTAGCTCGAAACTTTTTCATTCTTCAATTCTTTGCATAATTGGCGCCCACCCGACGTTTGTGAAACATCACGAATGCCACCAGCAGTAACCTGCGTGTCCCTGCTACAGCTACCTGCAGATGGCGCAAGTCAATTCTCTGTTTTTTTTTGTTTGAGGGAAACTCGATTGTCTGTTAGCTAGACCAAACATCTAGTATGCAACTTTACTAACTAGGAGTACAAAGAAGGGATCCATAGGGAAAATATTTCCGAAGCAAGCATCGTTCCTCGTTTTTCGAACAGACCAAATAACTGTCGCTACCCTATCAGAAACTCATCATCCAATCACAAACTCCCTCCATACTACCAGGAACTGTACCAAAACAAAAAGCACACTGCACATTGTTCGTAATATAACGAGCAACCGGACACTTAGAAAAGGATCACACTACCTATAAGTTTCATATTGAATTTTATATACTATTTCTGAACGTTAACCCTAAAATTACTTTGTTCTCGGCTAGACCAATAAAAGATCGAATATGAAATTTTACCAACTAAACAGCTGGGATCCATCGGGAAAACCTTTCTGATGCAAACATCATCCCTTTTTTTTTTACCAAATAGACCAAATAACCGCCGCCACCCCAGCAGAAACCAGATTCCTATCTTTACCCCTGAAGTTCATCACTCAATCAAAAGGTCCATCCATGCTAACAGAAATTGTATCAAAACCAGAAAAAGCCCACAGTAGAAATGTTGAAAATATATCGGGTAACTGAACACTTAAACAAGATACGATCCGCTGGCTGTTCTCTACTGCAAAAAAATATTATTTCCTTTACAACACTACCTCTATGATTCAGATTATTCTGGTTAAGATACTATTTCTGAATTCTAACCACAAGAGTGTTGATCAGAAGTGGAACTTTTACATACCAAAATTTTCAACAAGGTCATTTCACTTGTTGAGCTTTCAAAGCTATATAGAATTCACAGAAATTAACCATTTTTCTCTAAAAGCCATCCACAGACCAAAACCTTCACAATCAGCCAGCAATTGATGCCATATATAGCACAGGAGTTCCCCAATATAGTTTCCTTCTAAATTTTAGAGCACTGAAATTAGTGCCAAGCACTCTAGCTACAGAGAGATGCTTACATAATGATAAATAAATTGTATTACCTGGGGTACTTGTCACCTAAAACAGCATCCCCTGACCATAAATCTCCCCAATATCTAGTTTTTCCCTATTACCAACTATCCTTCTAAAAAATTGAACAAAATAAGCCTTAGCTTTCATCAGCCCTTGCCACAAAAGAGATTGGGCAAGTTTCACACTACACTATGCCAAGTTCACTTTTCTGATCAGATTGTCACCCCTAAGAACATTCTGTAAATACCATAATATGTGCCTACGGAGCGTAGTTGATCAATGGAATGACAAGCTGAGCTCTAGACAGGGAGAAAGAAAGATGGCATAATAGGAAAATATGTACTACATACCGAGAGCACATCTTATGTAATGTGAGAGCTTTGCGTCAGAAATCAGTTCTCCACCACGTCCTTACAGAAATCGTCGTCATGAGCACCTTGGGAGATTTAGAGATCAAATACATGCAGAAAGCAATAAGTCAGGCGGTCATGAGAAAACACATGCATACGAGTAATTAGTTAGGTGCAACGTGAGTACCTTGTGCTATATTCGGGTTCATTTCAATTCCAATCCATGGATGGTTGGGATGGCCGTCCAGCGCGTGCCTCACCGCAGCCTCTGCTTCCTTGGCATCCCCAACCCTCGCTCCACCACAACACAAATAAACGCAGACCTCCCTCCGAAGGGAGAGCAGGTTCCCCTGCAGGCCCAAGTCAAAACCATAGTTACCATCCTCTTTCGCCACGTGCACGCCAAGGCTGAACCTAACTTTTTCCGCCCTCGGCAAAGCTCCTGGTTCAAACATTATTTGTGCTGCTGACCCACAATACAAGATAAATTCTACCATACAGCAGAACCCATCTGCACGGATGACTAACAACCGTTGTGTTTGGTGGGTGCTCTTTATGCGGAGACGACGAAGGGACAACAACCTCCCAATGATTTCCACGTCCTCCTGCTGCACATCATTCACTCGCGAGAGGGTTAACTCGGAGAGGTTTGAGAGATGCGAGGGGTCTTTCTTTATCCACCTTCGAAGTGCAGAGAGTTTGCTGGGCATCCAAGATATAAATTCGCGGAGATGTACAGGAGGCACCCAACGTTCTCCCAAGAGATCCATCAGCTCAAAAGATGTTTCACTGGAATGGCGATAAATACTTAGAATTTCGATGTGATGTAGGTTGCACAGAGACTCCACGAAACCTTCATACAAATGCAAACTACCATTCTTGAAGGAAACCACAAGCTCCCTCAGCCTTACTAGGTTGCCAAGCTCTTGTGCAATAACGTTCAGACAGACCAAGATATTCTTCAACACTTCGATGGACGTAAGATTCTGCAACACACCAGCTGGAACCACCTCAGAGAGACAAACATTTAGGCAGAGTAATCTTCTCAACTTGCAAACAATCGACGGCAATCTACTTAGCTGAGAACTACTTCCAATATTCAGCACCTCCAAAAACTGCAGGTTTCCTATCTCAGCTGGGAGTTCACTAATTCCAGTACGTGCTAGACCAAGGTACCTTAGGTGAATTAAGTGTCCAACATCCTTGAGGTTAAGCTGTAGGCTGCTACTTCTTTTCAGATAACAGTCTGACAGATCAAGTACACGCAGAACTTCAAACTTTGATAGAGCTGGCATGATACTAACAGCAGGTGGGAAGACAGTAATTGACCTTACAAAATTTGTGAGAGGCATGATTTGCTGATCTTCATTTCCATCTTGAAGGGACAAACGACGAACATTACTTTGTGAAGACATGTTATACCGAGTGCCATCCAATAACTTGACAAACTTTGCTGCATGTGACAAGTTGCAGAGAAGGCCCAAAACCATATCATGTACACGACAAGCATATACCTGGCCTAGATCATTATATATTGGCTGGATCATACTTCTATTAATGAGCTGGTTGAAGTAGTTCAATCCGACCAAAAACAGGCTGGTCCCTTGCTTTCCATGGTGGACAAATCCTTCGGCCACCCACTTCCATATGAGTCTATCTCTATCAATCATGGTATCTTCTGGATATATACATAGGTACAGTAGACAAGTTTTCAGATGAGAGGGTAGATTATAATAGCTGAAAGATAGTATTCTCCGCATCTCCTCTAAACTGTTATCTTCTGTTAGTCCAGAGCCAAGGAACTGGAGCAGAATATCCCACTCATGCTTTGTTTTCACCTGCTGGTCACTAGTCAAAACACTAGCAATAGTAATGATGGCTAGTGGTACCCCACCACATTTCTTCAATATATCTTTAGACACTTGTTCATATTCATTTGGACATCCACTATCGTCAGGAAATATTCTTTTATGGAAGAGCCTTCGGGAGTCATCACTAGAAAGAGGTTTCATTTGATAAACTGAATCATCAGCGGACGAGCAACATGAATTGGAGACACTAACAATGCGGGTTGTGGTGATTAGCCGACAGCGTAGATTATTCTTGCTGGAGAAAGCAAAGTTGATGCCTTCCCACAATTTTTCATCCCATATATCATCAATTATGACGAGATACCTACATTAGTTAAGAATACCAGTGTAAGGCCTATGCTCATCACAAAATTGAGGGCCATATGAAAATATGGATGGAATCTATAAGGGCATATATTCAGCAACAAACTCGTAAGAATCATGCGTCTCAAACTTGGTAATCTGAATCTTGTTGAAGCATGCATTATGAGCCTCCAATCAGATGTTGAACAAAATGAATAAATATTGATAATTCAAGGGAGTAAAACACAACTAGCAAGTTGTTGGGTCAGTTACCATACGTAGAATACAATTAACTATATAAGTTCAAATTGTCAGGTGGATATATGATATATCAGAAAGACACTAGTACAGATTGGCCCCCAATTTAATATATGGCATCTAATGATCCTCTTGGAGACTCAATGTGTGGCATTATACTTTCCCCTTATTTTGCTGATAGCCAGTTTCCAAAAAAAAAGGCATGCATAAAAAATATAATGTGATAGTGAAGAGAAAAATGAAGTTCTTTGCTTGGTCATTTATCCAATATACTCCCTCCGTCCCAAAATTCTTGTCTTAAATTCTTCTAGATACGGATGTATCTAATACTAAAACGTGACTTGATACATCCGTATTTAGACAAATTTAAGACAAGAATTTTGGGATGGAGGGAGTACAATATTTTAGGAAGATTCAAGGGTAGCCTTTGGTGCGCATTGCCACCGTTTAAAATCTGTGCTTTAAAACTTGGTGGGTTATGAGAAAGAAAGAAATAAGTTTGATTGGAAATTTTGTCCTCCCTCTACAAAAAAATATAAGAGCGTTCAGATCACTACTTTAGTGATCTAAACGCTTTTATATTTCTTTACAGAGGGAGTAACATTCATCTCCCTCTTTCTTTCCTTTCCTTTTGTGCATTTTTTATAGTTGTTATTACACTCCCTTTGGTGTAGCGTAAAATGTTTAGACTGGTTTCTTGGACCGATGCCAATAAGTTTCAGCCATTGTAACAAATGTAATAAGTACTTGCTAATTATTTCGATAACGGTGGAAAAAATACAACATATATACTTACATAGGCTTGAAATTTAGCACCTATAAGGTTTATAGTTTAGTGCAAATGGCATATGTCAGTAAAGGTGACCTTGATGAAAAATTATTCTAAACCCTTCCACGTGTGACATGCAATAGTGACATGCAATATATTTATACAGTATTACTGTACTTGTACAACTAGCATAGGAAACAAACATCTCATAATGGTGTACATTTTTGCAGCAAGTGATGCATACCTTTTGTTCTCTAGGAACTCATGAAGCATTTTAATAAGCTGATTGGCATCCAGTATCGCAAGATCTGAGTGAGGGTTGCCGAGATCAATGAGAATATCCCTTAAAACCTTCTTCATGTCAGGGTTCTGACCGACGGGAACAAATGCCCGACAATCAAAATCACCTTTAATCTTGTCATATACTGCTCTAGCAAGAGTGGTCTTGCCCAACCCTCCAAATCCAACAATGGAGACCTTCTTCAATCTATTGTTAGAGGCATCATCTCTCTCCATGGAGAGCAACCTCATGAGCTCCTGATCCCTCTTCCCATATATGCCAACCAGCTCTGTCGCTTCTGTGTACAAAGCTCGAAGACAAGGATCAATAGAAATTGGTTCCGTAGGATTAGGAACAACTACCTTGTTCCTGTCACGCCTAGCGGCCACCTTCTGGAGTTGCTCCTGGATGTCCTTGATTGCGTGAGCTATCCCATACTTATCCTTGACTTTCTTCAGCAACTTGGTCGTCCTCTTCATGAGCCGCTTGAATTTGTTTGTGGTGTCGTCTGGCTGAATGTGGTTGACTCGTACGAGGAACTTATCGATGACATCCTCAATGATGTAGGATAGCTCTCTGACCTCATCGGCCCAGAGCTTGTCTTGTTTGTCGAGCTGGTCCCGCGGCACCTCACCAATCTTGACGAGGGCAACGTTCATGCTCTCAAGCTCCTTCAGGAGGTCCTCGATATTTTTCTTGACGTTCTTGTGCAGCTTGTACACCCCCACAAGTAGGTCGGCCAGCTTGGGGATCAGCTTGGCAATGGCACCCGTGACAATATCCATGAGAGCTCGCCGGATCAATCAGCTGGAAACCTGCAAATCAATTAATTTAGGGATCTGTAACACAATCCGAGCTCTAGAACTGAGTTGCTAAGCCAAATGAGTGAATGTAGGGATCTGGACCAAGCCCACCCACCTTTGATGCTTCACAGGAGAGTAGAACACAAATGGCCAATGGTCGCGCTGTGGGGACAACGAAGCGGCTGGGCACCAAATAACTTATAAGAACTTATAGCCGGGTCAGTGGATTCTATGCATGGTGCTCTGAATAATGACCGGAAACCTGCAAAATAAATGAATAAGGGGAGCTGTAACCCAATCCAAACTCTGTGAAGCTTTAATTTCAACGAGCTCCTCTCTAGAACTGAGTTGCCAATCCAAACTGCGAGATTCGGACCTTTGATGCTTCACGGTAGATTAGAAAACAGTGGCGGCGTCAGCGTCGGATGGCCATCAGCAGAGCAGAACAGAGCAAGACGCAGCGGCTGCATAGAGAAAAACGAAGTGGAAGAATAAGTAAGAACTTACAATCTAGCAGATCAGCAGATTAATAAGAAGAGAATCGCAAGAAAGATGGGAGGGATAATGACTGGAAACTGCCACCCTGGATTCAACCAACGCAAATCGATGAGACTCATCAAGCAGGAGAAGTAATAACTTTTTAGATCCAAGCATTCCTACTTTATTCGAAACAAATCGACAACAAACATACCCGAAATGTCCACGGAGGTTGGATGAGATCAGCAACAAGGCGGATCGATCTGTTCCGGGCAGCGCAATGGAGGAGACTGGGAGGAAGCGGGGACGAGGAGCAGAGGAAGTCCAACAGCAGTCAAGAGAGTAAATTGTTTGGAATCTCCGTACCCTGGATTCAGAACCCCACGATCCAACCCTGGGTTCAATCAACACAAATGGATCGGAATCTGAAGCAGGAGAAGTAATAACTTTTAGAACCACGCATTGCTACTTTAACTGGAAACAAATCGACAGGAAATATACCCAAAATGTCCACGGCCACGAATAGAGCAGTCAGTTGGCAGGGGCGAGGCCAATAGGAGGCGAGATGAGATTAGCAACAAGGGCGGATGTATCTTATTGAGGGAGGAGGGAGCGCAATGGAGGAGAGGACTGAGAAGAGAATGAGAGAAAGGGAGCGCTCAGTGGAGGGAGACGAGGAGGATCAAGAGAGGACACTACTTTAGCACGCTCCTCGAATACAGGGAGGGATACCCTCTGCCTTTGGGCTGATATGTTTATTCAGTGGGTACCTATGGTCAGTCCACCGGCCATGCTTCACGAAATATTATCCCTAAATAGCCCTTTTAAAATTTAAGTAAGCACAATCCTCCAAACACTTATCTCTAAATAGCCCTTTTAAAATTTGACATCTTGAAGTTATGCTAAACCAGGGTTATCCTCCTTTTTTAAAAGAATTTTTTTACATGTAGTGATGCTAAACCAAACATCAAACGGTTTAGCATCGATACCTAAGGCCAGATTTTGAAATAAGTTTTTGCAGAACCAGTGGAACAAATAAGTTTAGAAAGAGCCATTTAGAGGAAACACCACGTGCTTCACTGCATTAAGGGCAATGCATCTCCAACGCGGCTCACCAAATTGCCCATAGATGTTCAGATGGTACAGTACGAACACTTTTAGTCTCCTAACATAGACGCCCATTTTGGATGGACCGGTCCGAACATCCGAAATACCCAAGGTGGCCCCAAATAGAGAGGGGCGGGGTTGTCTAGAGGTCCGCTACGTCGGACTACGTCACACTAGTCCACCAAACTTTTGTCTCTCATTTCTCCACCTGTCCACGCCGGCGACGCCCATAGTAGAGCCCCCCCCCTTCACACCCACCTCCCCGTCGGACGCCGAGTGTTGTCTCTAAGGGCCGTCACAAGATCACTTGGTACAAGCAGCTGACGTAGAAGCGCCGCACCAAAATAACAGCAGAGGTCTATGAGGCGAATGCTTGGAGCCATGCGTGCATTTAGGCGGGCCAACCTTCGAGCTTCCCATGTCTGAGATTGGAGGGGGGAGGGGGTAGGAGGAGGATGGCGACCCCAAGGTGATGGTAGAGGTCTAAGAGGAAGATGTGCTCAAAAGGAGGAGGCGTAGGCAATGACTATTGAGGCTGTGACTCTGGCCGCCGAGATGGATGGGGTCTTGTCCATGGCAGAGGCAGAAAAGCAAGTCTGCCTCATACTCTTGGAGGAGTACGCTGCGGCCGTGGCGCAACACGTGGCAGAGCACATAGATGATGCAGTCGTTGTTGCGCTTCTCAAGGACCCAGAGATCATCCACGACAACCAGGCGGTGCTCAAGAATCATGAGGGCGAGGAGGCGGAGATGCACGACAATGATGCAAAAAGTGGCACATGTCAGTGGCTCCGGCGGGTTTAAGAAAGCGACCAATGATGACGAGGTTTGCGGCTCCGGCGTGGAGGGGGAGGAGGAGGGGGTGTGTTCATTAACCTCACCTCCAGCATGGACGAGTAGGATATTTAACTTTTACTTTTGGAAAATTTTAATATAGTCCCTCTTGCCCAACTTTTTACATGTGAGGTAGGAAGGTAAGAGTTAATCAGACCACTAATTAGTGAGATGAACGGCTCAAATCTATTATATACTCTTACCTCTCATATGAAAAGAGGGGGTAAGAGGGAGCATGTTAAAGCTGCTCCTTTACTTTTTATTATCGGTCTTTTGAGTTGTAAAATGGCTCCGAGTCCACCTTGTTTAAGGCATAGGGTTGTATGGCCAGCGCCTGGCTGACTTTTTGGGGGTGTATGTGTGACTAACATCGTTTGAGATGCCCTTACCCCTGCTAGTTGGGTTGGTGAGTCACCTGCCAGACTTACTGCATCTACCCCTCTCTCGTCCATCCAGACATTGGGTAGAGGGTAAATTACTCCTATGCAGTACAAAAGCAATGAATACTCTCTGCCAAATCGAAATATTCAAACTGGACGGAGGGGCTCAATTCATTACCAGTTACAAAGAGGAAAGCCAATTAGTTACTATAGTGTCATTAACTCATAAATGTGATTAAACTGCATTAGTCCTAACTCTTCACCAATGACCTTTTTCCAGTGAATCATCACCGCTCACTAATATTCTCTTACTAACTGTGTTTTGCATTCAAAATATGAAATTACTCTTAACTAGTCCATCTCCTCAAATATATTTTCACATGGACACCGAGATAACTTCATAGAGCAAACTAACAAAAATATACTCATACGCGCTCCTTTGACGTAGCCAGCCGCCCCTCCAAAAAGCTAGGGTACTCTGTCTCTCGCCGGCGCCGGCGCCGGTCCGTCCCGTCTCCGGTGGCCTTAGGGCCATGGAGGCGGAGTGGATCTCGCCCCTTGCCGGTGGGAGGGCTTCGTTTTTAGATCTTTTTCGATCTTTGTTAGGGTTTGTGTCCTGCTCAGGAAGGCGAGACGGCGGCGGCTCCATAAAGATGGAATAAAGGTCTTCCCGCCTAGCCCCCGTTCTGGTGATGCATCCAGCACCATCGATGGGCGTATGGAGTTGTGTCTCCGGCTGATCTGTCCTTGGTGGATTTGCTCGGATCTGTTCGTCGTTTGTCTTCGTTCGTGTATCTTCAGGTTGGATCCTTTTAATCTACACTCTTCATCTGCGGCGGTTGCTGTTCTGGTGCGTTGGTTCTATGGGGCCTTAGCACGACAACTTCCCGACTGTCTACTACAACAAGGTTTGCCCGTCTCCGATGAGGGAGGGGCGATGGCAGCGGCGCGCCTTCGGCTCGCTTCAGTGCTTGTAGTCGTCGCTAGGTGGTCTATGGATCTGGATGTAAATTTTATTATTTCTAGTATTCGTTGTACTACCATGATTGAAGATGAATAGATTGGAAGTTTTTCCCGCAAAAAAAAACAAAAATATACTCATATTCCACTACGCTAAGAGCATCTTGAATAGCAGACCCAAAAAATGAGTCCAATATCGAAAAACTAAAATTTTAGATGTTTTGGCCCCAAAACGACTCCAATAGCAGACCTAAAATTGCATGGAGACTAAATTTTCTTGGTAGTAACCTAAATTTTGCTACGGCCATCATCCATGTGAACACTCCTCTAACTATGCACCTCCCCACACTCATCATCCATGTCAGCATGCCTCGTTTGCCACTTTGTTGGCATGAAACTGAACATTATGTTGGATTAGTTGTGTTTTTTTGGTTCAATTCATTGGGTTTTAAGTTCCAACAAATTTCCTCTCTACATCGATGGCATAGCGGATGCACGCCATGTGGTGCATCTTGGGACGTACAGAATGTTGTTCAAAAGATGCGCGTTGGATGCCGCCTTGGGCGTCATAAAATAAACTAGCTGCGTTTGCATGTGCGTCGCCAGTCACCAAGCCCCAAGATCAGATCTAAAACCCAGCTAGCAATTGAGTTCCCACGGCCACTCCCATGCTCCTTGTGAACTTGTAGTCTTGGCCTCTCGCAGTGCTCCATGCATGTCTGTTGGTTCTTGGGCTGATGTGCAGGTTTAGTTAAAGCGTAGATTGTTAGTTGTTGTCACCCAGCTCTTAGCGTAGTTGTGTTGTTTGTCGATTCGGCATTTTGGTGCGATTTTTTGTTTTCCGGTTATCCCGTGACCTCCTAAGAGCGCTTCCTTACTAGCTACTTTTTGTCGTTCGTCCGTGTACTGTGGGTTGTACTTTATATATATAATGGTGTAAATCCTATTTCAAGTACTTGACTTGTTTGTCGAGCTCGAGCCGGGGCACCTCACCAACCGTGACCAGGGCAGCATGCATTGTCTCAAGCTCCTTCGGGAGAAACTCAACACATTTCTTGATGCGCTTGTGTGGGTTGTACTATTCCATTAGCAGCTCGCCCAGCATGGGGAGCGTGTTTCAGATGTGGCACCAGCCACCACCTCCATTCTCATGAGCAGCTAGCTTGCTTGCTTGATCGATGTGTGGAGCTGGTTGCGTGTGGGCAGTGCTCAGATCTGTGAGGA